TCTGCACCAGTGCTAAATTATGCTGACTTCTCCCGGCCCTTCATCCTGGAAGTCGATGCCAGCTACAGTGGTCTTGGAGCAGTGCTCTCGCAGGAGCAGAGTGGTAAGGTGAGACCAGTGGCCTACGCCAGCAGAGGATTGAAGCCAACGGAACGAAATATGACCAATTACAGTTCCATGAAGTTGGAGTTCTTGGCGTTCAAGTGGGCCATGACCGAGAAATTCAGGGAATATCTCCTGGGTCAGAAGTGTGTGGTGTATACGGACAATAACCCTTTAAGCTATCTATCCACTACTAAATTGGGTGCCCTCGAGCAGCGGTGGGCGGCTCAACTTTCTGACTTTGATTTCACCATTAAGTACAGACCCGGCCGAGCCAATGGTAATGCGGATGGATTATCCCGGCCATATCAAACTGATGCGCCTGCTGAAGGATGTGGTGCCTGGATGCCGGGCAGTGCCATCCCTCAAATGATAGCACAACTCGGCACACAACCGACCATGGAGGTAACTCAGTCAACCGTGTCAGTTTTCCCTACCCATTCTGCTGTAGATCTAGCTGCGTTGCAGGAAGCGGATCCTATCATCCGTCACTTTCTGTTTTTTTGGAACCGGAAACGAAGCCCAGACCAGCAGGAGAGGCACACCATCCCCAAAGCAGTTTTGGAGATGCTTTGCCAATGGGAGAGGGTGACAAAGGAGGAGGGAGTTCTGTATCGCCGTGTGTCTAGACCAGATGGCGGGGAGGAAGGACGACAGCTAGTATTGCCTGCTAAAGTATTGCACCGGTTACATCAGGGCCAAGGACACCAAGGGGTAGAACGAACAACCGACCTAGTGAGACAAAGATGCTACTGGCCAGGTATGATTAATGAAATTAAAGAGTATTGCCAGAACTGTGAACGCTGTACATTGGCAAAAGCGGTCCAACCAAAGGTTCGTGCCTCCATGGGCCATTTATTGGCCTCCCGGCCAAATCAGATATTGGCCATTGACTTTACCTTGCTTGAACCGGCTAGAGATGGTAGAGAACATGTTCTGATAATGACTGATGTATTTTCCAAGTATACATAGGCCATTCCCACTCGAGACCAGCGAGCACCTACGGTGGCCCGACTGCTAGTCCATGAGTGGTTCTACAGGTTTGGAGTTCCGTCTAGGATTCATTCCGACCAAGGGAGAAGTTTTGAAGCGGTACTCATCCAGCAGCTATGTGAGTTGTACGGGGTTCAGAAAAGTAGGACCACACCTTACAGACCGCAAGGAAATGGGCAGTGTGAACGTTTCAACCGTACACTGCACAATTTGCTGCGCACGCTGCCAGTGGAGAAGAAGAGGGACTGGACGTTGGCTGCAACCTCCCACGACGCAGAGGGAAGACCGAAGCGGATCCGCCTGGAAGACTCCCAGCCAACCAGAAGAGGGCATTGGAGTGCGCGCCAAGCTTAAAAGAAAAGTAGGACCACACCTTACAGACCGCAAGGAAATGGGCAGTGTGAACGTTTCAACCGTACACTGCACAATTTGCTGCGCACGCTGCCAGTGGAGAAGAAGAGGGACTGGACGTTGTACCTCCCACAACTTATCTTTGCCTACAACACCACCATACACCAATCAACTGGTGAGTCGCCTTACCTGCTGATGTTTGGTCAAGATCCACAGTTGCCGGTGGACTTCTTGCTAGGGAGAGTAACAGACTCCGCTGCAGGTACGGAGGACCACTGGCTTGGCGAACACCAGAGGCGACTACGAGCAGCCTACGCCGGGGCAAGACATCGTATGCAGGAGGCTGCACAACGGAGAGAGGAGAGACACGACCGAAATGTTGACAAAGGGCTGACCGTGGACCAGTTGGTGTATCTGAGGGACCACAGCGTAAGGGGAAGAAACAAGATCCAGGATCACTGGAACCCAACACCCTACAGAATTTTGAAAGCGCCAATAAATGGTGGATCTGTATATACTGTGGCTCCCGTCGATAACCCTAACCAAACTAAGCAGGTGCATCGAACCATGATTAGACCTGTTCCCAGGAATGCTCACCATGTCCCCCCTCCCCAAGATGAGCAAAGAATCACGGTGGAAGCTGCTCCTGAGGAGGAAGAACTTGAAGAGGTGTGGATTGTGAGAGAAAGGCCACTGGTCTCAGAAGACCTCAACCCAGTGGAAGCTGAGCCTCCTTGCAGGGTTGCCAGTGAGGAGGAAATGCAGTTTGGAGTGACCCCCGATCCACCGGGACTACAAACAGACCACTCTGCAAGGGAAGGGACGGGCCAGCCATGCCGCCCTCAAGGTCTAATGTTTCGACGGACAACCCGGGTGACAGCGGGCAAACACTCTAACGTTCATCGCTTGCCACAGACAACCGTGAGTGGGCAGGGGGCTACCGTGTTAGGTCCCTTTAGTCTCAAGTCAGGGAGGTGAGTCTTACCCTCGGGACGAGGATAGAAGTAGTGGGGGTAGATGTGACGGGTAGTGTCAAGGGGTCGGGCTGACGTCATCAATGAGCGCCCTATTTCACGGGCCGTCTCCCGTTCTCTAGCAGTCCGCTGAGAGGAGAGTAGCAGGTAGGTCGCTAACTGGTAGGTTGTTTGTGATGGGGGAAATTGGCAGCTTATAGATCTCAACCTTGCAGGTTTTGCCGGCCGAGTGGAGCCCCTTCGGACGTTGTTGGGGAGGGTTTAGCTCCTCAGCCTTTCCAGGTGGCACACAAACTGTTGTTTTGCCGTATCCGGGTACGAGTAGCGATTAGCGATTGTAACTAGCTGATATCCTAACATTGTATGCGTCCCGCGCTCCGGTTTTGTTTTGGGTACTTGCCTACTGTTGTTTTTATTTATTTCGAGCGGGGGGTGCCCGATGTGAGGAGGAATAGCGTGGGTATTTTCTTAGATCAGATTTTAGCATGTGGCGTGATATTGCATGAACTGTTTTTAACGCACTTTGTTTTGCCGTTGCGTGAGTGAGTTGCTGTGTGTGTGTGTGTGTGTGTGTGTGTGTCGCATGTTTATAGGTTGCACGGGTGATTAGATGAACTGGGGCTCTCTCCCTCCCCCCCCCTACTTGGTGTCACATAACTATTTACATATATTCACCCACTGGACTGTTGACCGTCTCTACGTCCCTATGGGTCGCACCTCTCTCGGAACGACTGCCTTTTGTCTTACCAGACCGGGTCCACAGACAGCGTCCTGTCCTTTGTCCCTTGCGGAAGTCCCATGGGTGTGTGTGCTAATCAGGAATCAGGATCAGGAATCAGGAAACATTTATTACCAAAATATGTCAAGCATACAAGGAATTTGTCTTGGTGGTTGGTGCGCGACAGTAGACAGTGTGACAATAGACAAGACAGTAGTGCACAAGTAATAAAATAAAGTAAAATGAAATGCTAATGCATTGGGTTAGTAGAATAAGGCTATGGGTTAGTATAAAACAAGGGAATAAAGTTAAAGTTAAACATTTTAAATATTAAAAAAGTTTAAAAAATATTAAGCATAAAGTGCACTAGCGAACAAGTAACAAAGTGACGAGTGACGATAAAGTTATAAATTACAGTTAAAGTGACGAAGGGGAGTGACCAGTGGAATGTTATAGTCAGTCAGTGGGGGACCGGGCTTTGTTGATGAGCCCGACTGCCGACGGGAAGAAACTGTTCGTGTGGCGGGAGGTCTTAGTCCTGATGGACCTCAGCCTCCTGCCAGATGGAAGGGGCACAAACATGTTTTGTCCGGGGTGAGAGGGGTCGGCTACGATCTTTTTAGCTCGCTTCAGGGTCCTAGAAGCGAACAAGTCCTGCAGGGACGGCAGATTGCAGCCGATCACCCTCTCTGCAGAGCGGATGACACGCTGCAGCCTGCACTTGTCCTTGGCTGTGGCTGCAGCGTACCAGACGGTGATGGAGGAGCAGAGGATGGACTTGACGATGGCCGTATAAAAGTGGACCATCATTGTCTTAGGCAGGTTAAATTTCTTCAGCTGCCTCTGGAAGAACAACATCTGCTGAGCCTTCTTGGTGATGGAGTTGGTGTTCAGCTCCCACTTGAGGTCCTGGGTGATGATGGAGCCCAGGAAATTGAAGGAATCCACAATAGTGACGGGGGAGTCTCACAGGAAGGAAGCGGATCCTATCATCCGTCACTTTCTGTTTTTTTGGAACCGGAAACGAAGCCCAGACCAGCAGGAGAGGCACACCATCCCCAAAGCAGTTTTGGAGATGCTTTGCCAATGGGAGAGGGTGACAAAGGAGGAGGGAGTTCTGTATCGCCGTGTGTCTAGACCAGATGGCGGGGAGGAAGGACGACAGCTAGTATTGCCTGCTAAAGTATTGCACCGGTTACATCAGGGCCAAGGACACCAAGGGGTAGAACGAACAACCGACCTAGTGAGACAAAGATGCTACTGGCCAGGTATGATTAATGAAATTAAAGAGTATTGCCAGAACTGTGAACGCTGTACATTGGCAAAAGCGGTCCAACCAAAGGTTCGTGCCTCCATGGGCCATTTATTGGCCTCCCGGCCAAATCAGATATTGGCCATTGACTTTACCTTGCTTGAACCGGCTAGAGATGGTAGAGAACATGTTCTGATAATGACTGATGTATTTTCCAAGTATACATAGGCCATTCCCACTCGAGACCAGCGAGCACCTACGGTGGCCCGACTGCTAGTCCATGAGTGGTTCTACAGGTTTGGAGTTCCGTCTAGGATTCATTCCGACCAAGGGAGAAGTTTTGAAGCGGTACTCATCCAGCAGCTATGTGAGTTGTACGGGGTTCAGAAAAGTAGGACCACACCTTACAGACCGCAAGGAAATGGGCAGTGTGAACGTTTCAACCGTACACTGCACAATTTGCTGCGCACGCTGCCAGTGGAGAAGAAGAGGGACTGGACGTTGGCTGCAACCTCCCACGACGCAGAGGGAAGACCGAAGCGGATCCGCCTGGAAGACTCCCAGCCAACCAGAAGAGGGCATTGGAGTGCGCGCCAAGCTTAAAAGAAAAGTAGGACCACACCTTACAGACCGCAAGGAAATGGGCAGTGTGAACGTTTCAACCGTACACTGCACAATTTGCTGCGCACGCTGCCAGTGGAGAAGAAGAGGGACTGGACGTTGTACCTCCCACAACTTATCTTTGCCTACAACACCACCATACACCAATCAACTGGTGAGTCGCCTTACCTGCTGATGTTTGGTCAAGATCCACAGTTGCCGGTGGACTTCTTGCTAGGGAGAGTAACAGACTCCGCTGCAGGTACGGTGGACCACTGGCTTGGCGAACACCAGAGGCGACTACGAGCAGCCTACGCCGGGGCAAGACATCGTATGCAGGAGGCTGCACAACGGAGAGAGGAGAGACACGACCGAAATGTTGACAAAGGGCTGACCGTGGACCAGTTGGTGTATCTGAGGGACCACAGCGTAAGGGGAAGAAACAAGATCCAGGATCACTGGAACCCAACACCCTACAGAATTTTGAAAGCGCCAATAAATGGTGGATCTGTATATACTGTGGCTCCCGTCGATAACCCTAACCAAACTAAGCAGGTGCATCGAACCATGATTAGACCTGTTCCCAGGAATGCTCACCATGTCCCCCCTCCCCAAGATGAGCAAAGAATCACGGTGGAAGCTGCTCCTGAGGAGGAAGAACTTGAAGAGGTGTGGATTGTGAGAGAAAGGCCACTGGTCTCAGAAGACCTCAACCCAGTGGAAGCTGAGCCTCCTTGCAGGGTTGCCAGTGAGGAGGAAATGCAGTTTGGAGTGACCCCCGATCCACCGGGACTACAAACAGACCACTCTGCAAGGGAAGGGACGGGCCAGCCATGCCGCCCTCAAGGTCTAATGTTTCGACGGACAACCCGGGTGACAGCGGGCAAACACTCTAACGTTCATCGCTTGCCACAGACAACCGTGAGTGGGCAGGGGGCTACCGTGTTAGGTCCCTTTAGTCTCAAGTCAGGGAGGTGAGTCTTACCCTCGGGACGAGGATAGAAGTAGTGGGGGTAGATGTGACGGGTAGTGTCAAGGGGTCGGGCTGACGTCATCAATGAGCGCCCTATTTCACGGGCCGTCTCCCGTTCTCTAGCAGTCCGCTGAGAGGAGAGTAGCAGGTAGGTCGCTAACTGGTAGGTTGTTTGTGATGGGGGAAATTGGCAGCTTATAGATCTCAACCTTGCAGGTTTTGCCGGCCGAGTGGAGCCCCTTCGGACGTTGTTGGGGAGGGTTTAGCTCCTCAGCCTTTCCAGGTGGCACACAAACTGTTGTTTTGCCGTATCCGGGTACGAGTAGCGATTAGCGATTGTAACTAGCTGATATCCTAACATTGTATGCGTCCCGCGCTCCGGTTTTGTTTTGGGTACTTGCCTACTGTTGTTTTTATTTATTTCGAGCGGGGGGTGCCCGATGTGAGGAGGAATAGCGTGGGTATTTTCTTAGATCAGATTTTAGCATGTGGCGTGATATTGCATGAACTGTTTTTAACGCACTTTGTTTTGCCGTTGCGTGAGTGAGTTGCTGTGTGTGTGTGTGTGTGTGTGTGTGTGTGTCGCATGTTTATAGGTTGCACGGGTGATTAGATGAACTGGGGCTCTCTCCCTCCCCCCCCCTACTTGGTGTCACATAACTATTTACATATATTCACCCACTGGACTGTTGACCGTCTCTACGTCCCTATGGGTCGCACCTCTCTCGGAACGACTGCCTTTTGTCTTACCAGACCGGGTCCACAGACAGCGTCCTGTCCTTTGTCCCTTGCGGAAGTCCCATGGGTGTGTGTGCTAATCAGGAATCAGGATCAGGAATCAGGAAACATTTATTACCAAAATATGTCAAGCATACAAGGAATTTGTCTTGGTGGTTGGTGCGCGACAGTAGACAGTGTGACAATAGACAAGACAGTAGTGCACAAGTAATAAAATAAAGTAAAATGAAATGCTAATGCATTGGGTTAGTAGAATAAGGCTATGGGTTAGTATAAAACAAGGGAATAAAGTTAAAGTTAAACATTTTAAATATTAAAAAAGTTTAAAAAATATTAAGCATAAAGTGCACTAGCGAACAAGTAACAAAGTGACGAGTGACGATAAAGTTATAAATTACAGTTAAAGTGACGAAGGGGAGTGACCAGTGGAATGTTATAGTCAGTCAGTGGGGGACCGGGCTTTGTTGATGAGCCCGACTGCCGACGGGAAGAAACTGTTCGTGTGGCGGGAGGTCTTAGTCCTGATGGACCTCAGCCTCCTGCCAGATGGAAGGGGCACAAACATGTTTTGTCCGGGGTGAGAGGGGTCGGCTACGATCTTTTTAGCTCGCTTCAGGGTCCTAGAAGCGAACAAGTCCTGCAGGGACGGCAGATTGCAGCCGATCACCCTCTCTGCAGAGCGGATGACACGCTGCAGCCTGCACTTGTCCTTGGCTGTGGCTGCAGCGTACCAGACGGTGATGGAGGAGCAGAGGATGGACTTGACGATGGCCGTATAAAAGTGGACCATCATTGTCTTAGGCAGGTTAAATTTCTTCAGCTGCCTCTGGAAGAACAACATCTGCTGAGCCTTCTTGGTGATGGAGTTGGTGTTCAGCTCCCACTTGAGGTCCTGGGTGATGATGGAGCCCAGGAAATTGAAGGAATCCACAATAGTGACGGGGGAGTCTCACAGGGTAATGGGGGAAGTTGGGGCTCTGTTCCTCCAGAAATCCACAACCATTTCCACTGTCTTTGGGGCGTTGTGCTCCAGGTTGTTCGACACCAGATGGTCAGACTCCCACCTGTAGGCGGACTCATCCCCACCGGAGATCAGTCCAATGAGGGTGGTGTCATCCGCAAACTTCAGGAGCTTGACGGACTGGTGACTGGAGGTGCAGCTGTTGGTATACAGGGAGAAGAGCAGAGGGGAAAGAACACACCCTTGGGGGAGCAGCACTCGCTTTATCGCACCGTTGTGACGAAAAGAGAGCTGAGCCGGAAGGCAAAGCTCTCAATCTACCGGTCAATCTTCGTTCTGTTGTGTTCAAAAATGAAGAAACGCCGGACGGACAGAGGTCATCGCTGATCAAAAGGTTAAATCAAATGTATTTAATAAAAGAGATGGTGTTGTGGTAAAAAGAACATTTCAGCTGAGGAGACGCTGGTCTCAGAACTAGGTCACGGGTACAAGCGGCCGAAATGGATTTCCTCATGAGAGTGGCTGGCGTCTCCCTTAGAGATTCATTCACATTCGTGAGGAGCTCGGAGTAGAGCCGCTGCTCCTTTGCATTGAAAGGAGCCAGTTGAGGTGGGTTGGGCATCTGGTAAGGATGCCCCCTGGGTGCCTCCCTAGGAAGGGGTTCCAGGCACGGCCAGCTGGGAAGAGGCCCCGGGGAAGACCCAGGACTAGGTGGAGAGATCATATCTCTGCACTGGCCTGGGAATGCCTTGGGATCTCCCAGTCAGAGCTGGTAGATTGTGGCCCGGGAAAGGGAAGTTTGGATAATGACACCTCCCGTGTCATTATGATCTGAGTGATTGCATTGGGTTGTATTGAACAAGAAAACAGACGCCATGTCGTTGGGATATATTTTCTCAAATTTGACTGATCAAATCATATTAAGTCATTCTAGAGGCGTAATAAAGTAACACTGTTGGAAAGTTGAAAACTGCATTTTATGGGTTGTAGTCCCCTTACAACTTTAAAGTGATAAAAAGTGCTGAGTTGGTTTTAATCAAGGGCACATAGTAGGTTAAATGATGCAGTCATATTGGACAACAGATAATTTCTGTATACAATATACAATCATTTTACACACATTAAAATAAAACAACTCATCACTCATATTACACAGGCCTGATAACTCAACTGCGAGCACCTGTTTTGTCACAATTGAACAATCCGGTTTCTACCTTTGGTATTAGCACTTAGAGTTATGTGTATTTGTACATCATAACAGTTATCCAGATTAAAGTGGCTGTAGACTTTAAACCGAGCGATTAAGCCTTAAGAGGTTACAGAGAAACAAACACATGGCAGTACTTCAATACATGAGATCCGCCCCATCCTGTGGGAGTTTGGCAGAACTTTTCCCGTGGCACACCTTGTGCAGTGTCGGATGTGTGGCAGTTTGCCTTTCCGCCAGCATGGTTTAGTCTAATCCACATTTTGGTTTGCAAATATATTTTTTTCAATCCTGTGTGTGTTTTCCACCATTTGATGAGGTCTTAGAGCCAGAACACAACAGCACCTAAAACTATCAAACATAGAAATGCAAAATAAACAAAAGATACCCGTGGTCTTCATCCATTCTGCTGTTCTTCCTCCAGGGCTCTCGTCTTATCTGACAATGTCTATCATACACCATGTGGCAGAATTTGAATGCTTTTAACTTAAGCCAAAGGAACTGAAAATATGTTGCTTATGCTGTACCTGTCGGGGGAGAATTTGTTGAGGTGCATATTGTGAGAGTCTCAAGAACTCGTATGTGACCTTTCTTGGGAAACTCGTGACCTGACCTAGTCTACGATGAAATCCATATGTGGCTTGGACAGACCTGTCGGGAAGAAAGCAGAAAAAGAATGTGGTATGTAAGGCAGATTGGGAAGCTTTCAAGATGTGGAAGTATGAGTCGGAGAGAAGGGAGAGACAGAGGTTGGTAGCATTTAATTCATTAAAGACCGAAGATCCTACAAAAGTTCTGAAATGTGTACCCCTTCTAACCCCAAAACACTTTATCCTTGTTTTTATGAGTTCCTAAGGAGATTGATGGACACGGATCTGGACTCCCCCCCTCCCCTCACTGCTCCTCCAGCTCCAGCCTTCATGAGCCGGCAGTCTCCTCAGCAGGAAGCAGCACAAGCAAACCTTCCTCGGCTTGACAACAGCCCACCAGGAGGGAAGCCAGATTCAACCTCCAACACCAGCCAGACGACCTTTTCACCTACTATGACCCGCTCGCAGGCTCAACAAAGGCGGGCCTTGCTAAGAGGAAAACAGGAGGCATTGTCTGATCCTGAAGCATCTTTTCCAATGGTAGAAGTGGCAGGTGCACAAGGGACGATGTTGGTGTTCAGACCCTTTGTCCGACACCGACGTGGCCGAAGCAATGAGCCATGTTTGCAATCCTAAGGATAATCTTGCTAAGTGGGAGACTGATCTGAAGCAATTTGTCAGAGAATACCGTCCTACCATGTCAGAGCTGCGGCGTCTGATGTGCAGACTTCTGAAACATGACTATCACAGAGTTCAAGGTGTGTTCACCACCACAAGAATGGCTGCTCACCTGAAAGATCCTGATTATGAGAATGACACAAACGCGGCCTTTAGAAACGCTGTTGATGCTCTCGTTGTGATGGTAAAAGAACAATTTCCTCTGAGACTGAACCTTTCCACCATCACTTCTATGATACAAGGGCCACAAGAAACATGCAGCTCCTTCCTGGCACGCCTGACGACAGCCTTTGACACTCACAGCGGCCTCAACCGACCTGATCCGATGGGGGCACAGCCCCTAATGCCATATGAAGTCCATCTGAAAGAACATTTTATAAGCAGAATGAGACCTGAACTTAAACGGATGGTGAAAAGATCATGTGCAACCTGGAAAACATGTGCTCTTGCAGACATCCTTCAGCACGCTGAACACGCTGAAGATGAGTTACACAAGAAAGAGGACAAACTAAAAGGTTTTGAAAAGGCTCAGTATGCGATGTTTACGTGCTTGCAGTGCCAACAATTTGCCCAAGGCCAACGTGGAAGAGGAAGAGGTTATGGAAGAGCTTGTGGCAGAGGCAGATCAGATCGGACTTACGGGAATTATGATCCAAACGTGTGTTACAATTGTGGACAGCAAGGACATTGGCGAGCAGAGTGTCCTGAGCACATGAGGATGAGACACATCACACGTCTGACTGAGGGAGGCAGAGGGAGGGGCGGAGGAGAGGAGGCTGCTGCGGTGTCTGTATCTCTCTCTCCTTCCCAAAGGGAAAAAAGGGTTCCTTGACTCTACTCCACATTTCATTGGCTTAACCATCTCACTGGGAATGACAGGATCTTGGTCCATGGTTGCATGAGTGTGTCTCGGCCTAAAGTTCAGACCGGGTGCAGAGGATCCTCATGAAGAGTATAGCGCTAGTGGTAATGTAGATTGCACTACGTTGATCACACGAGTAAGTGTACACAGGACAGTAGAGCTCGTTGAGGAATACACATAACACGCAGACTTGTATAGCCACCCAAACAAGAAGACATAAGTTTGTTTGTTTGTTTTTTTTCTTTATTGGGCGTGGCTATAAATGATAGGATGTCCAGTGGGTTACCGCGGAAGTCAGGTGTATTCCACAGAAGCGCTTAGGAACATCTACATAATTTATAACTCCCTGCAGGGTCGGCCCATCTACATTATGTGGCTGATATGATGATTTGCAGCCCATCAAAGGAGGCTTGTAAAATTGATTGAAAACAATTTCGCTACTTAAACATTTGGCAGAGAACGGACATAAGGCTTGCCTACGAAAACGTAAATTTGCTCTAGAACAAGTGACTTATCTGGGACATGTGATCACAGCTGAGGGCAAAATCCCTCTCTCCCAAACGTATTGGGGCAATTCAATTGGTACCAAAAACAAAACAAAACAAAAAACGAACGATGAGTTATTTAGGGATGATTTCATACTGTAGACAGTGGATCCCAAATTATTCAGAAAGAGAGGCACCTCTCTCGTTCATGGTCCATGATAAAGGCCTCAGCGCGCATGACAAACTGACTTGGACTACTGAAGCTGAAAAGGCTTTTCAGGACTTAAAGACTTCCTTATCACAGGCCCCGACTTTGGGCCTACCGAGACCCGACTTACCGTAGACTCAGTTCATAGACCAGAAGGACTGTTACATGACATCAGTTTGTGTCATCTTCATGGAGGAAAACTTAGGCCTGTTGCCTACTTCTCCTCAAAACTTGACCCTGTTGCTTCGGGTCTTCCTCTCTGTTTGCGAGCAGTGGCGGCAGCCGAGAGAGACATTTGAGCATCATGACATTGTGGGCTTCTGTGATGTGACACTTATGGTCCCACATGCTGTCTCCCATATCTTACATGCCCAGAAGATTTCTCACCTCTCTGCTCAGAGATGGTTCAGGTGTCATACGACATTGTTAGGACTGTCTAACGTAATTGTCAAACGATGCGATGTCCTTAAACCAGCTACACTTCTTCTAACTGCAGATGATGGAGAGCCTCATGATTGTGTCGAAGTCTTGCAGCAGACATGCATACCAAGGCCTGATCTGTTGGACACAGCTCTTCCCAATGCAGATCTTGAGCTGTTTGTGGACGGCTCCGCTTCTCGCTCACCCGAAATAGGCAGCGGCCAGGAAACAAGGGAGCGGATGCGGCTTCACTTCCCCTTCACTTAAATGCTTTCCACACCGACCGATCCTAGTCCTTATGCCGACCTTCCCACACTTCAGTCTCTTGCCGGTGCAGAGGAGCATTCCCCGTGGAAACGATCTGGTGCTATTCTTGAGGGCGGAATCTGGACAGGGCCAGACAGTGGGCCTTGCTTGCCACATGCTCTCTTCCACATTTATGCTAAGTTGTCTCACGGAAGAGATAAAGTGGGCAAAGGGGGGATGTGCATTGCTATAAATGAGCATGCTGATATATTGTGCTAACCTCTCCCCCTCACTGTCAGCACTGCACGGGCAGGTAAAAGCGGCGCTTCCATCCCCGGGCTACTGCAGTCCAGCACCACCTGAAACCAGGAGACTGGGTCCTCATTAAGGATCACTGGAGAAAGCACTGGAAGCAGAGGCGCTACACAGGGCCCTTCCAAGTACTCCTGACCGCGGAGACGGCAGATAAGGTGGAAGGGAAAGCGACGTGGGTCCAAGCCAGCCACTGCAAACACATCCCGGATCCAGGACACGAAAGAGCACCTCCATCTGGTTCCGGTTAAGGGGTTGCAGGGTGGAGAGCCTTCTCCCACTGCAGTGTTCAAAGACACCAACGAGCCCGGTAGAGATGGCAGAGACGGCAGAGACAGCAAGGACGAACAGCGATAAAAGAGAGATCTTCAGCGCCAAAGAACACTTATGAAGCATGGTTGGAGCCTGAGAATGAACATGTGCATATCACTGACGCTGGCCACATTTGTGCTGATTACCCTCACGATCAATGAACTACAACCTCCTTATGTGAACATCACGGATTCCAGCCTTCTCCACCTCTCCAATAGAGAATTTCAGGAAGGGAAAATAAGTTTCCACTGTCCAGCAAAACAATGCGACGAGACTGAGTGTTTACTCTACACAATCGAACATGATGCATGGGTTAAAATAGAAAGTCACGTAGTTGAAGTTGTGTGTGTTCCCGGGGTAAGAAGAGATAGAGTATGTACTGTGTGGGTGCACGGAACATTTGATTTAGCAGATCCACCATTCTGGTGCAGTAAACCACGATCATGTCAGTGAGACACAGCCTAAAACAGTACCACCTGAAATAATTTACGAGGTCGTTAAACCACAGGCCATGACCTCCCGCAGGCCAGAACAGCCCCCCACTAAAGCAACTTGGAGGCAAAGGTTGATCTCTTTCAAATGTCCAAAAGGGGGGTGTGGAAAGGAGGGTTGCAAAGCTTACATATTACGGCTGAGCACGCCGCACTTAGGTCACTGGTCAGTCCTGAACTCAAGAGGATTTTAGGACTCAGTGTCAGACAAACGACACTTGCACAGTGACTCTAAGCCCTAAATATGACACAAGTTGAGAATACCCGTTCTGGTGCGCTCAACTTGCAGACTGTACGACGGAGCCAGCCCACCTCACTCGGCTAGATTGGCAGTATGCGTGCAAAGTAAGCCTACAGTTAAGAGAACTTCCAACCCGTACACCACCGTACGAGCATGACAATATTGCGTTGACTATTGTGAATGACCTTGCTAACGAAAGGAATGTCTAATTGTTGGATATGTCAGCATATGCCCATTTCATCTAGAGCACCTATGCTGGTTCCTGTTCCATTCACAGAAGCCGACTGGGATGTCATGGGGTGGCCTGAGCTATCTCATCGATTTGTGAGTAATGATGAAGACTGTTACACTCCTCCACCGCAAACGGCGACAACAGCAAAAAGCACAGTTGCCTATGAGGGTGAAAAGGGGGAAGTTGTACGTTTTGCAGTTAAGCGGTTCAATCTGAAAATAGACCTATAGGTATTAATCAAGTGATGTTGTTTAGATTAACCTATTACAAATGATATGTCCAACAAGGGTTAAGATATCAAGTGCAAATGACTCTCGGGGAGACTAATTGCACACCAGACAGTGAAGTGTTAAAAAACCTGCATGTACTCTCATACCAGATACAGCATCTATTCGATTGGAGATGGGCGTACAGGGCATCCCCTGGGCAAATGATTTTAAAGTCACACATTCGACTTGGAGTAGACATAATTGGAGTAAACCTTTAAATCCCAACCAGACCTCAGAGTAGAGATTGTACCAAACCAGCACCTCCCATTCCGGTCCATCCCTTAACCGACGTCAGCTGCTGTGTTAACTTCTATGCTCTGGCTGAATTTCATCTAGGTACGAGTGACTGTAGTAATGATATTATCAGCTTCACCACTGAATCCAAAGATCTCGCATTACCGGAACAGGTTTATTTAGTTTGTGGCCACATCGCTTATAGCTGTGTTCCAGTCATAGGGAACCTTCATAAAAAGTCAGATACTGGGAAATGCTAGTCAGCATACCTTGTACCCCTAATTAGACAGGCTGACTCCAAGGAACTTGCTCCGTTCCATGTACGTCATAAACGCGCCATTTCACTAGGTTCAAGGATTTTGAGCATACTAATACCATCGTATGGCACCTACGGGAGCCAGGAGGAAATAATGGCACTCTCAACAGTACTGGAAAGACACATGAATAAGACTTCAATAGCACTTTCTGAAATGCGAAAGGGAGTAAATTACATCAAACACATGGTATTACAAAATAGAATGGCTCTGGACCTCGTTTTGGCCTCGCAAAGTGGGGTATGCAAGATAATTAACAGTGAATGTTGCACTTCTCTCTGTTGATCTCTGTTGCAACATCGCAGTTTATGATGTGGTGGCAGACACAGAGCAAGGCATTAAGGAATCGCTCGAAGACCACAGCTGGAATCCTTTTGGGGAAATACAGGCACGGGTTGGATCAAGGGGAACTTCTCTCTTCTAGAAACTGCTAACTAGGAGGCATAATTTTGTCTGTAATTATTATAACCCTAATTGTAACTGTTTTAGAGCTCTTTGTAAGGAAGGTTGTCAGTACTTATGTATCAGCTGAACACATGAATTTTACTACGCAGCGTCCAGTTCAGAAATGGACTCCACCATATCCGGATAGCCTTGACAGTGACGACTGTGAATATTGTGTGTAACTGGACGATATTTTATGTGTTAGTGGTTAGTAAATGTTCTGATATACTTTGAGTTAATGATGTATGTTCTACGATTTTTTATGTTTAATTTTTCTTTATTGATTTGAATTGATTGTTTAACGTTTTTCTGATTTCTTAGTTGTCAAAGAATGACAAAAAGAGAGGGATGTCGGGGGAGAATTTGTTGAGGTGCATATTGTGAGAGTCTCAAGAACTCGTATGTGACATTTCTTGGGAAACTCGTGACCTGACCTAGTCTACTATGAAATCCATATGTGGCTTGGACAGACCATATCATGTTCTTCTATTTACCTTTCTCCTCTGTTTTCCTGTCTGTCAAAATGATTGACTTGGTCCACTAAGAGAGGGTCGCGGAGGTTCCCGTAATCAACATCTGGTTACCATTCCTCGAACCTTCAGAGCTGTATAAAAGCTCCTGGTTCCCCCCAGAAACTTGGTCAGATCTTCCGGCTCCTTTTGGGAGAAGGAACTTTCTGCCCCTTTTCAGCTGAATTGTAGTCATTTGACTTCTGTCTGTGCTTACGGCTTGATGATTTCTGTATTCTTTATCATTTTTCTATATTCTAGTTAGTAATAAATACTTAATCACAAAGCAAGCTCAAGATACTTTTGATTTCTCACATGGGCTAAATCCACCACATATCCAACAATATTAGGCAACACAGCTGCTGATGAGAATAACAAATCCTACCGCTGACCTTCAGCTTGGTCGAACAAGTGTGTGAGAAATAACAGAACCAGTCTTGAAACCTTGTTCAAAAGGGGATATTTAGTTTCTTGTGTGTGTGTGTGTGCGCAGCATCACTGGTCACGCTCTATAAAATCAGCACACCGTACACATTCATCCTGTTGATTGAATCCATTTTGAATAATTAAATACAGAAAAATAAATTCACAGCTCCATGGAGACGTGGTAGTAGTTACAATGCCGGTCAGTAGACACAGACACACTGAGGGGGTGGAGGGGTGGTGGTGGAGGGATGCAATCACACAGGAACAAATAATGGGGTATTCATCCCTTCTCTGCACGGATTTCATGTTTGACGTGACACCCGCTGCTTATATAACCAGGGATCAAAGGTTGCACGGTAATAATCCGACTAGTTGTCCCTGTGAGGCTGCAGCGCCTGATTGGAGTACGCCCTCTTTACTGTAGAAGAAATTTTACGAATCTTCCTTAACCTAACAAAATGTTTCACTCCTTGTCTCTGCCTCAAAAGAGGAGAAAATAGAGCCACACAAAGGTATGAGCACACAAAGGGACTCAGCTACAGTAAGGAGTCACATCATTCGCTCTAGATGACCCAACACATCTAAAGCTCGATAAAGCTACCTGCTGCAGTAGACGTGTAGATGTGTGAGGTACATCCGTGAGTGGATTACCTCAAAGTACTTACAGGAACACAGGAACACGTCCTGTCACAGCCAAGACACGTGGAGGTATAGTGTGATAAATAACAGTAACAACATGCAGAGTCACATGTCTCTGCATCTGCCCACACAAAATAAATCTGTTGTGATCAAATACGACATTTCAGTGTGAATAAAAAGAACACGTTGAAATACACTGGAAGACCTGCATCCCGATCAATGATCCTGTTTAACAGTTAAGTACAGTATGTTAGGACACGTCATTACATCAAATAAACTTCAGGGCTTAAGAGTACAGAAAATCACATCATCATCTTATTCTTAGGCATATATTACACAGCATCATATTTCACGTCGTACTGTATTATAACAGTCTCCATCTTTCTATAATAGCTTATATTAAGAGCTTTTGAACCTTGAGAAGCCGGTTGTGCAAAGGGAAGAGAAAACGAGTGCCGCTCTGTAGCACGAGCTGGTTCAAAGTTTGTTCTAATTCATATATTATAGAATATGAAATCATGAATCTACGGAGTGCTATACCATTCTGACTTTTTGAGGGTTTTTTCGACCAAAACAACTTGGTGGCCATGCATGTGCAGAAACCCATCGACTCATTTTAGGCACCTTTCAAACAAAAAACAAAAAAAGACTATAGATTATTAAAAATGTTCATTTCCATCTCTTCCTGTTGTTACCGCTCTTCATTCTCCCGCTCCCTGTTGGACCGGTTATGTAACAGTTTTCTGCTGATATCCGACTACTGGTGCTACTGCTACTGGTACTGCTGCTGCACACCACCGCCGGCTCAACGCCACGCCGATCGCCTTCGCCTGGCGCTCCAGGCGAGTGTTCGCAGGTATGAAACCCTGTGGCTCTCATAGCACGTGGCAGCAGTTGTACTGGGCCAGCGGCAGGATCTTGGGCTTGTTGTGCGTCGGCATGTTGAAGGCCAGGGCCTTCTCGCACAGCGGGAACTGAAAGAGCCTCTCGTGCAGCTTTATGCTGTGCCTCTTCCCCTGCTCCGGCCGTGCACTGTGGGCTTGAGATCGGTCCGTCGGGGTGACGTCCCCCCCGCCCTTCCCCGTACTCCCTTCTTGCTCTCCTTCTCGTCCCGCTTTTAGCGCCTGCTCCTCGTTCAGTGCGAGTCTGGGAGAGGAGCCGGAGGACTTGGTGTTGTTGTTAGGTTCAATCTCTTCTTCCTCCGGACTCAGGGGGCCCACCGCCCCCCAGCAGCACGGCACCCCCAAACCAGGCAGAGGCGATGGAGGAACTTTGGCCGTTTGACTTGCCGTGTTGTCTCCATGATTCAATGGTTGGTCTGAAATCACACAGCCGCCATCTTCCTCCTCTATCTCCATTTGTTCCTGCTCCTCCTCTGTCTCCTCGAGAACCTCTACGAAGCTTCCTAATTCCTCTTCTGGGTCCTCCTCCCTGCACTCCTGATCACCTGCGCTGTCCAGCGTCTCTTCAACTGCTTTTTCTGGCTCTGCTACGAACGAAGACGCCAAGCATTCAGCCTCCTTTGCCAAAACGCCCTGCACCTCCACTTCTTCTTCATCCTCCTCCTCTTCCTCTTCGCAGATCTGCTGTAGCGCCGGTAGGTTCCTGGTGACCGGAGGCTCTTCAGCCAGAGGCGGACGCAGGGTCAAGGTGAGGCTGGGCTGCCAGGGGCCGGGGAAAGCCTGCTGATGCGGGGGCTTCGCGGCCAGTAGGTCCCCACATTCAGGTGCTCCCAAGCGTGGTGAGCTGGGGGAGAGGGCCCCCGAGAGCCAGTACGGCGGGGCCTCCGGGCTGAGCCGGGCGTCGTCAAGCCCCTGCAGCCAGTCGTGGGCCTCGATCTCCTCAAGCGAGGCGCGGCAAGACGGGTCCTTCTGGAGCATCCGGGAGATCAGGCTGACGGGGGGGAAAGACGGAGGGGATTATCGTTAATGCCAAGAACAGAAGATGAAATTTACAGGCTTTATCTTGGCGCTACAACAACATCTTACTGAAGTGCCTTGAAACCCAAACAAGTTAAAGTTCCGCTAGACTCGGACACCCAACGCAGCATTATGTGACCTGAGGCCCAGAGCTGGTTCCCATATTGCACGATTGCTGCAGCAGAGCATCCAACAAAAGGTTTTGTATACAGTGTTTATGTGCGTAGCCTTCTAGAGAATAGGACTTGGGTATAAACACTTTCCCACATTCCTTCCTCTTGTCTAACCGTTTGGTCCTGGTGATTTCTTCACTGCAGAGAGTATCTATACGTGATGGGGGTTGTGTGTGTTTGTGGTCATGAAGCATCCACTGAGATAGCTTTCGGACAACAATGGCGCTTTTTAAAATGATACTTGGAGTCCTGCAGATTACCTTGTACATGCACTTAGTTTTAAAATTACAAATTAAAAAAGGGATGGTAAATGGTAATGTTTTTTGGATGTGATTTTGGATTTGATGAACCTGGACTTGGTAAAGGGTTTTACTTTTGAGGATGGATGGGGTCGTGTATTGCGAGATCTTGGGCAATAATCTCCTTCCCTCAGTAAGAGAATTGAAGATGGGTCGTGGCTGGGTCTTCCAGTGTGACAATGTCCCAAAACACACAGCCAGGGCAACTGAGGAATGGCTCCGTAAGAAGCATCCCAAGGTCCTGGAGTGGTCTAGCCACTCTCCAGACCTGAACCCAATAGAAAATCTTTGGAAGGAGCTGAAAGTCTATGTTGCCCAGCGACAGCCCCAAAACCTGTAGGATCTGGAGAAGGTCTGTATGGAGCAGTGGGCCAAAATCCCTGCTACAGTTTGTGCAAACCTTGTTAAGAACTACAGGAAACGTATGTATTTAATTCCAAACAATGGTTTCTGTACCAAATATTAAGTTTGCCTTTTCTGATGTGTCAAATCCTTAATATTTTTTTTTAAATCATAGAATGTGATTTTATGGATTTGTTTTGGATTCCGTCACTAAAAGTTGAAGAGAACCTATGATAAAAATGACAGACCCCTACATGCTTTTTAAGTGGGAAAACCTGCAAAATCGGCAGTGTATCAAATACATGTTCACCCCACTGTAGCTGGGTAACACTAAAAGCGCTTCACGTTTCAACTTTATATGCAGCTGGGCAGAGAAGCTTCCGGGATAACTGGGACACTATCATTATCCACTGAATCGCACGCTAACGAGATGATTTCGCGGTCAGCAGCTTTTTGACACGGGGCGACCCCCCCACCCCCGCATCTATTCCACGGCACAAATGTTCCGGAGCGGAAAAGACCTTTGAGTTGAAGATGAAACACGCAAGGATCTCACAACATTTGTATTTGACACAACTCGTCCCTACCCTCTGCAGCCGTGGGAGACGTGCTCTGGGACGCGGTATCGGCAGTCCAGGATCATGACCAGAGTCTCGCTGTCGTTGGTTTCCTGGAAGGGAGGGGCTCCACACACCAACATGTACAGGATCACCCCGAGAGACCAGATATCTGGAACAAACACACACGGTACAGAAATTGGCCTTGATTATGAAATCATGTCTTTAAAAAAGACGAGCCCCCTCTCTGCTTTCAGATCATATTTAGAAATCTGAGAGCCTTTTAAGGGAGATTTCTGAAGCAGAACACAACGTGAAAAACAGATCCTGTCCCATATAGACACCAAAAACATCCACATCGTCGGCGGAGAGGTCACAGGTCGGGTTGAGCAACAGGCCGGTTGAGTGCTACGTGACATTTAAATAAGGTTGCTCCTCAATGAAGTAGGAAGAGGGAGTGTGTGAGTGACAGCTGCATGACCAGTTGGATGTGACACACATGCACACACAGTGCTGACAGTATTTTTTTTTTCCTCCTCCCTTTTCTTCCTCCTCTGCCTGTCGGCCCCTCCCTGCCTCCCCCTCCTCCCCCCCATGCAGATGCAGTGAGAGGAACGAGCCGACACACAGCAGCCCGAACCGGGGGAGAACACTGCAGCGACCCGTTCAAGGAAACACACATGAACACACGCAGGGGAAAGGGGAGCGGAGGGCCGACGACCTCAGCAAACAGAGGGCCCGTTGTGCTATTCTGAGAATCATCCTGCTTTCCTTTTTCTTTTACTGTTCTCCTCTCCGTTTCTCCACCGAGTGCTGGAAATAGAAGCGCTGTAACTGTAGAAATAAAAATAAAGGCCACCTCTGCTAATATTTGTTTCCAGAGTTACTTAAAGGACCAGTTATTGCTGACTTTCTCTTTTCCTATCCCAACCTTTGGTCCGTTTTGTCATTGTTACTGTAGAGTCTCACAGGGACCACGGATGTCCACATGGAAAGAGTGAAAGTAGCACATGCATCTTAAAAAAGGTGGTGTACTGATTTCTCGACACAAACGGCTGTCCCTGCTGGCCTCAGGTCACATCAGGAGACAAACTGAACAGCTGCTAGCACTGTAGCTCTGTGATAACAATGTTTTTCAGTTAGTCCACCACTCTGGCCGGTTTAAAAAATGACGAGCATTCATGATGTCCAGATGGCGATCCCAGAGTTTCCCTCTTTTCCTGTTCAAGTCAAATTTAAACTTTTTACAATACCTTTGGCTATTGTCTAAAAAACATGCAGGAATGCAGGTGAACATCAGCCTGTTTGCATCGTCGTTTACTGCATGCTGAGCATTTATCGCAAGTTGGTAACAAAATCCTTTTCCGAGATTGCACTTCTACTTCACAAGAGCTTGTGCCATAATTTCTATTCATAAACACATGTCAAGTGTGAAGTGATACAGATAATAATAATTGCAGACTCTCATACAGCAGGCAGCAACTTGAAAGAGTTCCTCTGTAAATGAACCATTAAAATATCCAAAGCGGAGCCGAAATAGATAAGGATTGAAAAACAATACAATGAAAATACACTGTGCTTCACTCAGACCCATATCTATCCACCGACTATCACACGTACCCCTCCCACGTGTGATAAACATTCAGCCATTGTCCCACATTGTATCCACGATGGTCCAAACAATGGCCCTCAGTCCTCGCTGTGCGCTCCCGTGCAGAGTGTTGTTATGCACCGCGGCGGAGAAGCCACTAAGTGCTGCGCGTGTACTCTCCTCTGCTGGCCGGGGAATATCACACGTACTCACAACTGGTGCCGTGCCGGATCAATGCTCGGCCTCAAGAAGCTCCAAACAGCTGTAGATCTAATGTGATGTTTGTATTGTCTCACTCCTGAGAAAGTGTGTCCTGACTTTACTGGTAGTGCGCACCCACACACACACACACAATTACTGATGTAATGATCTTGATTAAGCTGTGAAGATAATACGAGCATTACTTGCATGCAGAAGGTTTCACCCTCCACTGATAAGTGACTCAGGTGGAAATCCCACTCTGATCCGTCTGACATGGTCTGGCGCTATATTCTGAGTGATCGTGTGCCTCCAGTGACCTTCCAAAAAGTCTCCACATACTAGACGCTAGTCGTGAATCCTCACGATGAGCACATGGATCATCGTGGTATGGCAATCATAAGAATGTGATGGAGACAAAAGCTGATAGTGACCTTGACCTTTGACCACAAACAAAACCCATCAGTTCATCCTTGAGCACTTGAGCATTGTGACGTGGAGTGATACAAAAAAAAGGACATTAAAGGGTACTTCTGCAGTTGTGTAGTGTACTTCTATAAAAGCAGGGTCAGAATGTTAGTGTCCACTGTGGGTTTAGCTCTAAGACTGGATCCTAAAAATTTCCATAATGCATTGATTTTGAAGACATCATCAGGGTAATTTGTTCAAACTTTAGACATCCCCTGAGGAGGACACCGCACAACCATTTGTTTCTTTTAACTGACCTGCTGATGTAAAAATGGCAGAGTGGCCTTTGAGAAGTACCACAGAAGAAGTACCTGCCTGTTGAGTCGGTACACAGAAGTCGACAGTGACCGAGTGACCGTAAGATCACCTCTCGTGCAATGGGACACACTCTCGTGCTGCTCCCAAAGGACTCGTTCGTCACTAGACACAACTCCCCTCAAAGTGATTTGACTTTTTGTTTTGTTTTGCTTGCTTCTAGCGTTGCTCCTGACTGAGCCGCAAGCAACTTTGAGGACACATCACACTTCATCACACCCACCATCTGCCACTCGCAGTGTTTTCCACTTCCTGCTTGGCTCAATCACCAGCGTCAGAGCCTAAAGTCATTGCCATCAGCATCTGATATATTATGCGGGAGTTAATGTTTGTAGACACAACTGCCAGTCCCTCCCACCCCCACCCCACCAGCAGAGCGCTTGCCGAGACCAGAAAAAGGACAAAATACAAGTAGAGGACAGTGTTTTTGAACAAACATGTAAATAGGAGTGTGTAGCTGACGCCCAGAGAGTTGGGGTATAACGATTCATTTGAACAACGATTCGATTCGAATCGCGATTCATGGTTGCCGATTCGATTCATGGACGATCTGGGTTCATTTAGAACGATTCGATTCGATTTGATTCAGTGACTTGAAATCGATTCAGTAACTTTACTGGACAGTGCAGGAAAGGTTTCGAGATCCCTGTTGTTTCTTGTAAGGAAATCAGGTTTAAATTAATTATGGATATTATAAACAAGCAAACAACAATTAATGGAAATGTATTAACCTTTTATTTGAATCAAGTGCCATTTTCAGTGTAAACATTACACAATAATTACACAATGTTTGGTCCAATTACTGAACCCCGGATTTTCAACCACATTGTAGGGTCGCATGTCTTTACAGATAAACTTGGCAATTGTTACTGTGATGTTGAGTTTGGTGCTGGCGAGGCCTGAGGTGTCTGCAGAGCTGGAGTTACCTGCTGCTGCTGCTGCAGCGGTGACGCTGCTAGAGGTCCTGACTGTCGGCGTTGTTTAATCCCACGGCGCCTTAGTAGATGGCCGGAAAGATTCGTCCAAGATTGTATCGTTTCCAAGTATCGATACAATCGATTATGTACCATTTCAATCGATTTGTAACCGATATATGTCGTCCGGAATGCCGATTTGTGGAGCACAGATCAATTCAGTTGGATCGCATGAATATAAATCGATTAATCGATTCACTGAATGAATCGTTACACCCCTACCAGAGAGGCATGCAATATCAGCCAAATGCAGAACTTCCCCCTTCAGACACAAACTGGACCCCTCCCTGGTTCTGTGTCATTCTCTGTGACTTCTTTGCCGAGTCATAACCCCCAAATCCTAGTGGGCTTGGTTTCACGTGCAAGGTTTGTGGTTTCCAACCACGCCCACCCAGTTCTATCCAAATCGTCCAAAGTGATTAGAAACAAAAACTAGGGGTGTAACGATTCATCCACTGAATCGATTAATCGATTTATATTCCTGCGATCCAACTGAATCGATCTGTGCTCCACAAATCGGCATTCCAGACGACATATATTGATTACAAATTGATTGAAATGGTACATAATCAATTGTATCGATACTTGGAAATTTGAGCACAAAAACGGTATGGATGTGTGTTTGTTTGTTTGTTTTTTAGCACTTTAGACACGTTAAACGTTACTCGATTCAGTCTGCCTGTCTGCGACGTCATCAGTACGCAGCGGCAGCCGCGCAAAACTCTGAACAACAACAAAACACAGCGTGGAGGAGACGACTGCGAGCAAGACATTTACAAACCAACTTATCGATCCAGCGCGTGGAAACATTTTGGCTTTTGCAAACACGGAGGTGTTCTAAATAAGTTGCTGTTTTTAGAATATGTAGAAGCCAAAGACACAGAAACACGACGAATCTTTCCAGCCATCTACTAAGGCGCAGTGGGATTAAACCACGCCGACAGTCAGGACCTCTAGCAGCGTCACCGCTGCAGCAGCAGCAGCAGGTAACTCCAGCTCTGCAGACACCTCAGGCCTCGCCAGCACTCAAATAAAAGGTTAATACATTTGCCATTAATTGTTGTTTGCTTGTTTATAATATCCATAATTAATTTAAACCTGATTTCCTTACAAGAAATAACAGGAATCTCGGAAACTTTGCCCGCACTGTCCAGTAAAGTTACTGAATCGATTTCAAGTCACTGAATCGAATCGAATTGAATCGTTCTAAATTAACCCAGATCGTCCATGAATCGAATCGGCAACCTTGAATCGCGATTCGAATCAAATCGTTGTTAAAATGAATCGTTACACCCCTAACAAAAACACATTTGGCACAGCTACGGGCTGATTATGTAAATAACAGTGTTTATCTTTTATCGTGTCTCTCCTCGTACACACACTTCCAGCAGCAAAGGAACCGCAGTGCATTAAACAGCAGCCTGTTTACAGACAGAAATATCAAATAGATGTGTGTGTGTGTGTGTGTAGAGACGGGTTTATGAGTCACCTTACTAAGCTGAGATCACTAAGGGACTTCTCTTCCTCTGTGCTGCTCCGAATTATGAGCAACCTACACATGTGTTCAGTGAAGTGTGTGTATGTGAATTTATATCGAAGTGATGCGCAGGTAGAAGCTGAAATCAACACATACGGCTTTTAAAAAAGGAAGTCACGTGAAAACGTAAACTATGGTAACAAATTCACAAGTTACTGATGCGTGCGAGGGGTTTTTCTATGTGACTTTTCTATGTTTTCTCTCACTCCAACACACATGTACACACATATATACACAAATGCTTGCTATGCAGTGTGAGCTGCAGTGTTTGGTTCCACTTCAGAACAAGCCCCGATGGCTCAGGACTGGCTAGCTTGCTCAGATTGACCCAGATACACATTCTAATCCTTCACGGACATTACACACACACACAGACACGCGCACACCCAGAACATTTTTATACAATCACATAAATTTTAATGGGTATACAGAGTTGGAACACACTAGTAAAATACAAGGAAATACACAGAGTGGAGGAGGACACATGTGGCCATACAAAGACCCCCTGAGGTGACACGTTTGCTTCTGTAGGACAAAAGCAGCCACGTTGAGAGGATCTGTTGATCACCCCGCCACCATTCAGATTTCTCTTGTGACCCCTTGTGGGGTTCCTGACCCTCACGTTGGCAACCATTTATCGAGACACCAGTTCAGGTTCAACACCAATCCAATGCAAAAACAGAGAAGTAAAAATATAAATGTGTTTCTCACCCACAGCTGGAGCATCATACTCTTCCCCCAGCAGGATCTCTGGGGCCGAGTACGCCAGCGACCCACAGCTGGTGGCCAACATCGTCCCGGGTTGGAATAAGTTGCTGAACCCAAAGTCAGTCAGCTTCACTGCCCCCTGCTGAGGAAAGAACACCACGTTCTCGGGCTTCAGGTCCCGGTGCACCACGTGAAGCTGGTGGCAGTATGCCACAGCGCGTACGATCTGGGCAAAGTGGCGCTTGGCGGTGCCTTCGGCCACGCCCCCCTCGTGGCACAGGATGTAGTCGTAGAGGTCGCCCCCCTCGGCCAGCTCCATCACCAGGTAGAGGGTGGTGGGCGTGTCGATGACCTCGTACAGGCGGACCACGTTGGGATGCTGAACCAGCCTCATGCACCTGGAAATAATGATTCATTACGGTGGGGTAATTGGGGTAAATAAGGATGCTCAGCTCCTCCAGAGCACCCTGAGATCTACACAGGTGTGATCTTTATTTTTTCCATGTTTGGCTCAGACAAGATTTTGATGGATCACACAACGTTAATCATCAGTATGCTTGTTTGTAATCCCATTAAATCAAACAAGCAGGAAGTTTGAACCTTTTTTTAAACCTCTTCTTTCGGGATCATTTACCTCACTTCCTGTAAGAGGTGACTCGCAGCCATCACATCGAGTTTTGTCTTGTCAATCATCTTGACGGCAACCAGCTGCCTGGTGTTGACATGGCGAGCCAGCTTGACCACGGCAAAGTGGCCCCTCCCCAACGTCCGACCAAGATGGTACAGTCCGCTGAGGTCCGAGCGACTGGGGCTGCTCCTGGGGTCGGGGTGCCCATCGTGAGCGGAGGTTCTGTCTCCAGAGGTGTCCATGTTTGAACAAGAAGGAGGTGGGAGAAAACGTAAAGTGGAAAGCAGTTGTGTCAAGGTGCAGGGAGGAGGGGCTGTTGGGCAGCAACGTTCTTCAGTGATGGGGAGTTGCCTGGCAAGACAAAGAAAAGACAACAAAATGAGAGTATTGATGATTTGGGCCCCTCTGCCCCGAAAGGAAAACGGGAGATTCCTCATTGCTGCAGGCGCTGGACCAGATTGATATTTCACATCTTTTGCCAGAGACAGAGAATACGGAATAAGTTTTCGTATCAGGTAGTGAAGAACAAATATGATTTGCATTGTCTGATGTTGAAGAGCTGCGTTTGGCTCAATCTCAAATAACAGCCACCCAGCACAAATGGCAGGCCAAATCAATACTGTAACAGGAAATCATAATCTGTGTGTGTGTGTCATTAGTTTGACTAAGAGGGTCAAAAGGTAGCATTAGACCTGATGATGTCATCCCCCACCCCAACAAGTTCACAAAAATGACCACTATCAACTCCACGGCTATTTACCACTATCTTCTTCATCCTTATTGCCGTCAGCATCTTATCGTCACTAACTTATTCTTTAACGAATACGTGATGGAGACGCGCTCGCGCAGGCCTCCCCAGGTCCGTGTGGTCTGATTCGTCCGGCTGTGCGGCATTATCGGATACAACACACGTCGTTACTTAACGTTACATGGCGACGAGCTGCTACTGACTGTTGGCACAAACGTCCCCCCCCCCCCCCCCCCGTACCTCTCCCCCGGCGGCAGCTCAACAGCTCCAAAACAAACGCCCCCCTAGCAACCTCGCTGAACATCGGAAAAGCGTCGGAAGAACCCGACGCCGCTGCTGTGGCCGGCCGGTCCGAGGCGGCTCCCGGACCGCAGAAACCTCGCTGTCCAACTTACCATTGTCGAGCCAATATCCCGCAGCTGCGAAGTGTCCGGCCGCGCCGCCCGCCTCCGTCACTGCGTCGCCTCGCCACGCTGAACTCGGCCGCAGGAACTGACAGCGCCGCCTCTTTCATAACACTGCGTGTTCGCGGTCCACGCGTGCACATACTTATGTCATGACGGCGGACGGCTCTCCGGCAGAGAGGGAGAGAAGGGAGGGAGATACCGCGGGACCGGGGCATGGCGACCCGCGCGCGCAGCTTTCTCTCTGACGTCAGTACATTCTAGCGCGCTCCCGCGGCGGAGCAGGAGGCCGCGAGCCTCTTGTGCAGTGAAGAGAGCAAAACGACGGAATGAATGATCAGGATGTCCAAGCAATGACATAATGACACTGGCTAATCAGTATTTTTCTTTTCTCAAAATAGCTTCGGGGCTGGGGCACAATGAGCTGTGCCATAATATACACTATCACGTACATTCCTAAGATACTTCTATTCTAATGGATGTATTCATGTTGCTTGAAGACTCAGTGGGCTACAATGGAAATGAGGAAATAAACCAAAAAGTTGTTTCCATTTATACCACCTTTTGTCGCTAATGTGTAAGGGAAATTCATGGATAATTCTTGATCTATCTCAATTGGGCGTTTTTCAAAAGACGAAAACTGGATTAAATAGTAGATTTAATACTGTCCTGATGTAATGTTATGCATCAAATGTAATATGTGTTTTGTGTTAATTAACCTATTACTCTGTCCATTTATTGTATCACCTCCAACTGACAATCACAGTCTTAAACTGACTGCATTTAATATGTTGTTGATATGTGGAGTATTTAAAGTTTAAGCAATGTAATTGTTGTGTTCAAAAATGAAGAAACGCCGGACAGACAGAGGTCATCAAAATCAATCAAAAGGTTAAAATCAAATGTGTTTAATAAAAGAGATGGTGTTGTGGTAAAAAGAACATCTCAGCTGAGGAGCCGCTGGTCTCAGAAACCAACAGGCCCCAGGTCAGTCCTTTTGACCATCCCTAGTGCCCGTTTGTCGCCTCCACCAGCGAACTCGAGAACAATGGTTCCTACAGGTATTTTTTAACAATGCTTAAAGGTGTGAAAGTTAGTGTCCACACCTCTGGGAGTGGTCTTCTGGTGAGTTCAATGTAACTCGGATTTTGAATGATCCTCAGTCAATATCAGTTGTTGTTCAAGTATTACATGCATGCATTCCAGTTGATTACATTACATCAAATACAATCATAACTGTACATTGGTATTATTCTATTACAGTTGCAGAATTACAGTGGTTACAGAATTACTTTATTGATTACAGTTTCAGAATCATGGCTGTATTCTGGTGTACATGCATTTTTATTAATTTTATGAACCGGATCGTCAATTTGTTCCTACAATCCATCCCTTTACACCAATTTTGGTGTAAAAAACAATCAGAGGGATCGGTTCATCAAATTCCTCAGTTTTGTCAGAGGTGTCGTCTCTATTTGTTTAGCATAACGTTCGATCCAATATGACACGCTTGATCTTACACATTCTAATCATAAGATGTGCATCTGGACACCACTTGTTAACTTGTACCTGGCACAGAACAAAAACTCCCTCGAAAACCCTTTTTGGGAATAAAACGAGGAAGAAATCTGTCGGAGAGATTGAAAGATCTTCTCCCAGGATTTAACATTTTATCACAGATGTCATATGTACAGTATAAATTGACACAGGACACATTAATTTAATAAAACCTAATGGCATCATGGGGCTGGTCTTCTTGAATGGGTGCGGTGGTCTGCGGTGGTTATGACTCTAATGATAACAGTCCTGATGCAGAGGATGCAACAGCATTCACCTGTGAATAGAATGCCGGCCATAATGGAGACTGTTATCACAAAAATAAACAATTGTTTGTATTTACCAAATCATGAGTCAAATAAGCCCGAGAAGCGGTTGTCAATGTCACTGTTCTCTGCTGGTTCTTCAGTGAGAGCTTTCAGCAGTGGTTCACCTCCATTTGTGTGTGCAGGTGTTTTCTCGACCATTTCAGGATCTCTTATGCTAAATGGTTGTTGTTGTTGTTGTTGTCCATGGGGCAGTGTTTGTAGAGGGGCTCAGGAACTTGGAAGTTTCTGTTCTGGAAATCGATGGCTCTGATGTGACCCAAATGGGTCTGAGGTTATGTCTGTGCTGGGCTGTCCCCGGAGTGGGAAGATGAAGGGTTGCTGGAACGGCCGTCCCTCAAAAGGGACACCCAGGAGTTTCTTGGACCCTTTCTGAATCGGTCCTAGTCTTGCTTCTGGTCTCCTAGAATGATATTGGTCTTGCTTCTGGTCCGGCTCTGCGGTGCTGGTTCTGCTGTGGTCGGTCCTGATGCTTCCTCCTGGTCCTGCACGGTGGTCAAGCAGACTCTGGGCTGAGGAAGTCCTTCCTCTCAGCGAGATGATGGTTGTTTGGTCACTGCTCACGGTTCCCTATGGTGCCGCTCAGGTTGTTGACAGGTGGTCTCTCCTCTTCTGTGTCATCCCTCTCTGCTCCAGCAGGGGTAGCGGTGCGTCTTCTAGATCCTGTGTGTGACTTGAAACTCATTAGACACCCCTCCAGGTATTCCCATAGCTTCCATTCTACTTTTGTGGCTTTTAGGTTAATGTAGTTTATCAATTATTGGGGATGCATTCCTGTCTGTTGTGCACTGTGTCTATAGTTATGTTTTGTTTAATCGTGACAATACTGTTATCTTAATAAGTACAACTCAACGGAAAGGTGAATCTCTTTCACCGTCCGACCAGATGTTCAATGTGAATATGTCTATTTACTGTATAGTTCTATATCAGGGAAATGTTTGGACATTATGAATCAAGAACCTGGATCTCTTGTTCTCACAATAATATCAACCGTGTGTATTTGCTTGTATATCAAAATCATTTTAGCTTGGATTTCAATGAGGGGTTTCTGTCCCTTTTCTTAATCTGAAAGTTGTGTGGTAATAACTTGTACAAAAACTAAAGTGTTTGTGGGATTATGCATGAGTGTATACTTCCTCTTGTTATCAAAGGCTTGGTCAGACGACGCGTAGTGGTCGTCATTGACGTGTGATTGAGATCCACTCTCTTCTTGATCCTGAGAATCTCGCAGGTCATGTGACCAGACTGATCGGGGGATCCGAGGTGCGGGAAGATCAGGATTCCCTGGTCAGCTGTTGAATAGAGAAGCCCAATGGGGTGCCTACGTGTGTGTGTGTGTGTGTGTGTGTGTGTGTGTGTGTGTGTGTGTGTGTCTTGGTGATCTTCCCAGGTGTTCCTCCTGGTCTTTGTATTTTGTGCAAATTTAAACATTACTTATCTAGTCCTTAATTCTTTCCGTTCTAGTCATTACCTTCTTAATTTTAGCTTTAACTGTACCATTTACTTTACTATCAGTCCTGCTGACTGAATGACAAGAACAATATTTCAAATTCATTCCAAAAATAGATATCAAATTGTGAGCCGTTTGTCGATTCAACTCTTGTGAGCTGTTGACAATACGTTTCCTCCGGTATCTAAATCTTTCTTTTAGTAATTTATTTAGTTAAGTTTTCCCATCGTTCAATTTGGAAAATTATTTCTATATCTACATCCCTCCTGTTGAGACATGTGTTATTTTAACACATGTCTCAAAATAAATGTGTTAGAATCAGCATCAGGTCAGCTTCAGACGTCTTTGCATTGGCTCAAAGTTCAACGCTGGCTGGCGAGCTCTTCCCCGTTTGTTGTTGTATGTGGGAGACCTGCTAAGTCCCTCCAGGACGTGTGATGATCTGTGTCTTTGTGACTTTCCATCACAATTGGACTTTCATTTGCATTCTCAGTCGTCAGGGCAGCTATCTTGCGTTCTCTACCTGTGAACTCAAAACTCAACTCATGGTTTGTTAATGACCTAGAACATTCATTTATTCCTAATGAAAATAATATCAATATATCATGTGTAGTTACATGTTTGTATGGTTTGTTGATAAAATCATTACAGGATGATGGTCTGTAACGAAGTTTTCCATTCTGTACTGCTATTACTAATGTTATCCTATGATCTAAACTTTGCTTCTGTCATTAAGATGCTGTATGAGATGTACTGTGCACTGTACATCTCATATCCACACTCAACAACTTGCAGCCTATCACTAAGTTTAAGAGAAAAAATGTTAGAATCAATTGAAGATGGAGGCAGGGGAGGCACTGTTGAATGGAAATACAGAGTGGAAGTGGGAAATTCAAAAACTGTTACATGTGTTGTAACTTTCTTCTTTTAACTGTCGCCGGCTGCCATTTTGGAAATCTCCAAAGCACATGTTCTCCACCCCCCAGTAATGGTGGATAACAAGTCATTGTTATCCCCTCTGTAGACCGTGCTGAGAATTTCTTTTTCAGGCATCTTTTAACCGTTTTCTCTATTTATCTCCGTCCGCCATCTTGTAATGTTCCAAAAACATGTGTGCTCCGTTTTCCCCAAGACCAGGCCCCAATCAAATTCTTAATCCAGCTTCATGCTTTTCGAAACATGCAACATACAATTATATACAAGTTCGCAACGTTATTCACTGACCGTTATGTATTGTAAATTTACCATTAATTTTGCAATCTGGGTCGTTTTTCCAATCTAATTAAATGCTGACCATGTCGCCATGACTCTGGCCTTGTTCCTGCATACAATTATTCCGCAAATTTAGTTAGTTCTTGGCACTATGGCTCGTAGCTCTGTCCTCACCGATTCCAAATTTTAATCTTTTTTCTTGCCATATAGGCGTCATCTAGTCCATACTTTAATTTATTGTGCTTTCTAACAGAACGTGAGAGAGCTTATCGAGACAACACGGCAGTCGCCACTAGCCGGCAAACCTCGTCCCCTCTCCCAGTATTGACAATACGATCACAATCTCAATACGCCTCTGGGACTTGGTTCTGTTAGAGCTTCAGGCACTATGCATTATGTAACTAATCTATAAGTTAGATATACGTTAGATATACGTTTACCCTCATCCGGTTGAGGCCTATACTAGGTATCCATTCATTCCTTCTATGACAGATACAGTGAAATAACGTTGCCCATTTGCTTAACGTTAACGCTACACAACCGAGCTTTGTCGGTAACTCATACAAAAGACGTCCAAACAAACACTATATACAATGTGCTTTTTATCACAACGGCCATCCAAACTAAGAGAAAAATTATTATTTTTTTCTGTAAAATTCAGTTTACCTCAAAACATTGTATCTTGTC